CTATAAATCACAGGGACGTGAGTAAGGGGAAGCGAGGGTCAAAGGAGGAAACAAAAATCAAATTTCTGATACTAACTGCAGGACCCCCAGGGGAGACCTTGTAAGACACTTGCTTCTAGCCTGTGATCACATCTCGGGGATAAAGCAGAATAGTGCTGAGGCTCGCTCACTCTTTTGGCAAACCTCTCAACACTCTTGGAATAAGACCATTTCTTGGAGTTACTAAAATGGCTGGAAGTGTTGTTCATCAAAAATATTCAGTTGGTGTATACCGATTCATATATAAATGATTAGTCCTCCCCCCATCCCCAAAGGAGCTGAAAAACGAAAGGAAACATTTGCTAAGTTAGGTAAATAATAAGAAACACTTGTGAAAGAATGACTTGTTCTTTTGGGGTCTGGAACAATTTTGGCAGCTGTACAGTAGAATCATGTTTGGTCTGCTGAAAAGAGTAACATCAATTAATAATGGATGAAAAACCCCTTTGTCTCCCGCCTTAGAAGATACTGTATGTCTGCCAAGATGGCTGCTCAAATTCTGCCAGTTAACATGTGAGAAGGTCACAACGTGAAAACTCAAGCAATTCAATAAGGTCAAATGCAAATACAGAATCAGCGGCTGATTTCATCAGGTGGAATATACTTATTTCTTTTACAAACTACTTATGATGTCAACCAGCACAAATGGAAGAGATTTCTTAGGAGGATCTTGGCAACAGGCAGATTTCATCACATTTCACTGACAACAAAACTTCAGCCCAAGATGCACTGCTTATAGTTACATTGAGTGTTCAGGCACCTGGAAGCTGAGCTATATAAAGAAGCAGCTAAAACTCACAGAAATGTATGAAGAGGTACCCACTTTGCTATGTAAAAGGCTCTGACCTCTCTCTTGTTAAAGTAACAGTTTAAAAATACTTTTTAAAGTAATTTCTTAATCATCTTTCAAAGGAGCATGTTGCAGTGGTATCAGGCAGAGTGGGTCACAGTTTCATCCTGAATGGCTATTTAGGGACCCTAAGAAAAGATAAGGAGTGAGTGATATGAGCCCTCCAACCCAACTTATACCAGTGGGCACGCTGGTTGACCATCTCTGCCAAGCCTTTAATTGCTTTGGAAATAGATCTCTCATTCTTCAAACTATGGTGCTCATCCTTCCAGGGAAAGCTAGAGAGCCCTGGCAAGGGAGCCACATGAGGAAGACAATGTTGGCCTGCTGCTGCCCACACGCAGTGCCATCCTGGGGAGTCACTGTGTGCACATATGTGTGTGCACACACATGCCGGCACATTCATTGAAGACCTGTGCAGTTACCATGAGTACAGGTTCAGACAGAAACAAGCCAAAACTCGTCAGGAAGCAAATATGCTGCAGATCAGGCCTTCCCAGCCATTTCTGTTCCACTGTCGTCTCCCTCACCCACAAGGAAGGATTACGTGTCCCTTCTTTCCTTCATTTCAAACAGTGGTGGGAATAGTAACTATTTAACAAGCATCTCCTTTGCACCAAGCATTACACAAAGCCTTTTGCACACATTTTCTCAAGTAGCATCTTAACAATCTCAAGGGCTAGGTGGTTGATTGTCATCACACAGGCCTCACACCTGTTCCAAATCTAATGACCTTCTCTCTCAACTTGTTTTACCACTCAGCAGCATCTGACACTTGTAATTATCACCTGTGACATTATGTTTCTGCTTCTCCTTCCCTGACACACTATGGTGTGTGTGTGTGTGCATATACACACTTTCTCCAAGACTCAGCTCTTAGCTCTCTTCTTTCTCCTTAAGCAATCTTATATCTATTAACAATTTCAACTACAGTCTCTGTGAACCAGACTTCCACCTCTATCCCTAACTGCTATGAAGAATTTCAGTTCTCGATTTTTAAGACATTTTCTTATAAATGTTCTACCACAATCTGCAACTCTACAGGTCTCAAATGGAACTTAGGTGTTCTTTAAACCTGCGCCTCCTTCTCTATTTTCTATTTGTGTCACGGCATCTCCACCACCAGCGATGTGGTACTCACTTTGAATCTGACTCCACTGTAGGCAACTCCAATGGATACACAATACTTTACTCAGAACTAAGATCTGGTTCCCTTCCAATTCCACGTACGGGCCTTAGTTCCAGTATCTAGGCTGTCACAATATTAGGCTGTCAAACAGCCCTGAGGGACCCAACTCCACTCTGCCTTCTTTTGGCCCCGTATGCTTGGGGCAGGTATTTGGGGCAATAGTGTAGGGCGTGCTACTGGGTGGTAGAGTTAGGAGGGTACACAGGTGATGAGGGCCTGGGCCAGGCAGAACAGGAGCTGTGGAAAGGGCAGAGGTCACAGAAGACAAATAGGCAGAATTTGGCCACTGACTCACAATGGAGGCCAGGGGAGAAGAAGAGGCCGATGTGATGCTAAGGTGGGGCCCAGGCCTCCAGGAGGATGGAGGCAGATGCTCTGGGAGGGATTTTTGCACCAGGAGAAGGCAGCCTCGGTGACTATGAGATTCATTCCCATACCAGAATTATCTCTCTAAAAATAAAGGTTCTAAATTAAGATAGAAAATAACCCTAATGGTATTCGTTCTGGTTATGCTTGTTAAAGCAAGTTCTCATAGCCCTTACTTTCACAAGCCTACCCTACTTTTCACAAGCATGTCCTCAGCTCAGAAGGCAGACCTAGAGAGCTGCCACACAAACTCCCCCTTCAATATACAACATCACTCTAGCTTGTCTGATTAAGACTGTCAGGCCTTTGAAAGAGTTAAATATTGAATATATAATGGAAAGGGAGATATTCCTGGCTGAGAGGGAATTTGGCATTTCTTAAGCATAATTAATGAAAATTCCCCAACTCTGAATTTAGCAACAAAGGCCCATTTTAGAATTCTCTTCTTCCAAACAATTCTCTGTTGGATTCCATACTTTGTAGTTAATATTACCTTGACAATCAGAGAAGCTATAATACATTAATGAAACCTAGCCAGGAAAATCAGATTACAGCTTTATTAACGGTTTCATAATTGAGGAATCTCCATACCATTGAAGGTCTCATCTCCAGATATGTAAGAATCCTGTGTTTATGCATACCCCTGGACCAATCAAACAACAGTCATCACTAATAAAGGTTTATTTAATTCTCATAGTAAAATTTTAATATCACCAGCAGCCTGGGGAAGCTTTAGCAAGTGGATTTGCTTGACATCAGATCGTTTCTATTCTGCTAGTCCCAATACTTCTTAATCTTTAATATCAAGGCAATTAAAATTAATGGCCACTCATCCGAAGCTACTGTGGGCAGTGTTTCCTTGACATCAATTGTTTGATGGGATTACCTAGAGGTTAAACTAACAAGCAAAGTTTAATTGGAAGCAATGAAAGAAGCAGTGATCATACGTTATGTTTAACCTGCATAACCACATCTAAGTGAATATCTAAAAATGTTAAACTATTTCTCAAATTAAAATATGCACGTCACATTCTGATATCACAGATTTGGGTATTGCAGCTATCAGCTATTAAGACCCCATTGCTGCAACTGGGATCAGTGTAATTAATGTAGAAATCGACACCTAAATTCAGTTTTTTTTTTCACCTTTTAAAGACACCTAAATTCAGGAGTTCTTTTTCACCTTTTAAAAACAGATGGATACAACTAGTTGCAAAAGTCAGCCAGTAGGAAGCACCAAAAGCTACAGAGCACATGCAGCACCCCCCTACGCAGGGCTCACAGTGGAGTCAGGCTGTACACAGGTGCTTGAAGGAGAGCAGAGCTTACTCCGTCTTTGAACTGGAATGGTAAGTTGGTCCCAGAATAGAAACACGGGCAGGAAATTGGTGGAGAGAGAGGGAATATTTTGTCCCGTGCTTCTCTTCTGAGCTGCATATCAAGGATTCATGACTCTGGGCTGTGCAGAAGGCAAAGGGCTGGGCAAGAATTTTAAGATCAATTAAATATGAGAATAAAAACACAAGTACTCTCCTCCTCCTACTGATGTTTATCACTACCAGCTCCCAGGCTGTATGCCTTTGGCAATCAGGGGAATGAGTAGTGAGCATTTTGCAGGGTGTTGATTTTCTGGAGCCCTTCTGCAAGGCCAAGATGTGACTAGAAAAGCTTCTGTTCCCTCCCATTTACTATAGCCATGCATTCCCCTGACTCTATTCAGCTGCAGACTGCCAACTGCCTTTAAAAAGTAAAATGTTTTCCTTTTTAAAAAATGTTTTATCTAAGTTGGTTTAGTGTTAATTTCTGCTGAACAGCAAAGTGATTCAGTTACACATTTGTATGTGTACTAAGTTGCTTCAGTCATGTCCGACTCTGCGACCCATGGACTGTAGCCCACTAGGCTCCTCTGTCCATGGGATTCTCCAGGCAAGAAAACTGGAGTGGGTTGCTGTGCCCTCCTCCAGGGGATCTTTCCGACTGAGGGATCGAACTGGAGTCTCTTATGTCTACCTGCATTGGCAGGCGGGTTCTTTACCACTAGCGCCACCTGGGAAGCTACATATATATTTGTTCATGTTCATTTCTATCATGGTTTATCACAGGATACTGAATATACTTCCCTATACTATATAGTAGGACCTTGTTGTTTATATACACTAGTTTGCATCTTCTAATCCCAAACTCTCAATCCTTCTTTCCCCAATCCTTCCTCCCCCTTGACAACCACAAGTCTGTTCTCTTCATCTCTGAGTATGTTTCTGTTTCATAGATATGTTCATCTGTGTCATATTTTAGATTCCACATATAAGTGATATCATATGGTATTTGTCTTTGACTTACTTCACTTAGTATGGTTATCTCTAGACCCATCCATGTTCCTGCATATGGCATTACTTCCTTCTTTCTCATAACTGAGTAATATTTCAATCTGTGCATATGCGCGCGTGCACACACACACACACACACACACCACACCTTCTTTGTCCATTCATCTGTTGATGGACATCTAGGTTGTGTCCATGTCTTAGCTACTGTAAATAGTGATGCCATAAGCCT